ACCTGTATGAATGGCCACATGAGGGTTCAGCTGTCTCTTACTTTTAATCAGTGAAATTGATTAAAAGTAATCTATCTGTGAAGAGGTTGATATAAACAAATAAGAAGATCCTATGGAGTTTTAATTCATGAATGCAAATAAAAACTCAAGCCTACAGTCCCTAGCCTACTACCCCTGCATTAAAAATTTTTGCTGGGGGCCAGACGTGGTGGCTCACGCCTGTAATCCCCGCACGTTGGGAGGCTGAGGCAGGCAAATCATGAGGTCAGGAGTTCGAGACCAGCCTGACCAACATGGTGAAACCCTGTCTCTACTAAAAATACAAAAATTAGCCGGGCATGGTGGCACACGCCTGTAATCCCAGCTACTTGTGAGGCTGAGGCAGGAGAATCGCTTGAACCTGGTAGGTGGAGGTTGCGGTGAGCTGAGATCATGCCATTGCACTCCAGCCTGGGCAACAAGAGCAAAATTCCATCTAAAAAGAGAGAGAAAGAGAAAGGGGGGGGGGGCGCGGGGATTTCTCTATTCTATCTAAGTCTGAGTTGTTTACTGTGCTGGCTTGAGACCTCTTTTCTCTTCCCTTCCACTCCCACAGCCCTCAGTGTAGTAACCTTCTGTAGACATTCCATGTGGCCTGCAGCTTTGTGTTGGTGGCACAGTTGAGTTCGGGTCCATCATGGGGCCCCAACAGAGAGAGCGATGTGTCACAGAGCCATGAGTCACAGAGCCAAGGTTAGGAATTTATCACAACCAACAAAAATGGAGCTTGAAGCAACTAGTAAAAGAAAGACTCTAAGACCACATGTGGCCACCAAACTTGTGTGGCTGGTCCTAAAGTCTTCGACTTGGCTGGCAGTGCTGGGCTCAGCTGGTCTCGCTTATATGTCGTTATAGCTACTTCTGTCAAGCGGTGGGCTGTTTCCACCTCTGAATCTGGGTGAGCCCTACTCACTTTGGCCACCAGAAGGTAGCAGAAGTGGTTGTGTGCTGATCAGCTGGGGCTGGTGAGGGGCTGGCTGGTCTAGGATGTCTTGGATTGGGGCACCCGAACTCTCCTTCTCACAGTCCCTGCTTGTCCAGCAGGCTGGCCTGGGGTTTCTCTGTGGGGGAGGCAGAGGTCCGAAGCAAAGAAGCAGCACGCAGGTTCTCTTCAGGTGGAAGAAAGCAGAGGTGTCGATCCAGATTATACCTATTTCACATAAAAAGTATTGTCAGATTGTCAGCTGAAGGCAATTAAGAAGCAGACTACAGGAAAAGGTCAGGTTTCCCTCCCGCTTTTCTGCCTAAAGGCTACTCAGGAGGTTCTGGGAGAAGAATCATTTGAACCCACAAGGCGGAGGTTGCAGTGAGCCGAGATTGTGCCACTGCACTCCAGCCTGGGCGAAAGAGCGAGATTCCATCTCAACAACAGCAACAAAATGTTGGTTGGGTGACCTCAGAGCATAATTCAACCTCTGAACAACCTAAACTAAGACTGCACTCGTCTAAGCAAGTTAACACATATTGACCCAATAATTTGATCAATAGAATAAGTTACCCTAGGGATAATAGTGCAATCCTGGGCTGGGCGCAGTGGCTCACACCTGTAATCCCAGCAGTTTGGGAGGCCCAGGCAGGAGGATCATTAGGTCAGGAGATCGAGACCATCCTGGCTAACACAATGAAACCCTGTCTCTACTAAAGATACAAAAAAAAAGCCGGGCATGGTGGCATGTGCCTGAAGTCCCAGCTACTCAGGAGGCTGAGGCAGAAGAATAGTCATCTTGGTTCTCCACTATCTTTTTTTTTTTTTCTGAGACAAAGTCTTGCTCAGTCACCCAGGCTGGAGTGCATCCCACCCCAAACCTAGGAAATATGTCTGACAAAAGAATTACTTTGATAGAGTAAAAGGGTGTGGAAGCTCTCTAAGCCTTTTTATTTTATTTTTTGGGACGGAGTTTTGCTCTTGTCACCCAGGCTGAAGTGCAATGGCGCGATCTAGGCTTACTGCGACCTCATGTGATTCTCCTGCCTCAGCCTTCCAAGTAGCTCGGATTATAGGTGTACACCACCAGGCCTAGATAATTTTTGTATTTTTAGTAGAGACAGGGTTTCACCGTGTTGGCCAGACTGGTCTCGAACTCCTGGCCTTGTGATCCACCTGCCTTGGCCTCCCAAAGTGCTGGGATTACAGGTGTGAGCCACTGTGCCTAGCTAGCAGCTTTTTTTTTTTTTTTTTGAGAGGGAGTCTCACTGTCACCCAGGCTGGAGTGCAACATGATCTCGGCTCACTGCAACCTCCACCTCCCAGGTTCAAGTGATTCTTGTGTCTCAGCCTCCCAAGCCATGGGATTACAGGCGGGCGCCACCACGCCTGGCTAATATTTTATATTTTTAGTAGAGCTGGGTTTTGCCTAGTTGGCCACGCTGATCTCAAACTCCTGGTCTCAAGTGGTCCATCTTTCATGGCCTCCTAAAGAGCTGGGATTACAGGCGTGAGCCACCTCACTCAGACTCTTTTTTTTTGTCCGAGATGGAGTTTTGCTCTTGTTGCCCAGACCAGAGTGCAATGGCGTGATCTCGGCTCACCACAACCTCCACCTCCCGGGTTCAAGCTATTCTCTTGCCTCATCCTTGCAAGTAGCTGGGATTACAGGCATGTGCCACCACGTCCGGTTTATTTTGTATCAGCCTGTTTTCTTTCCTTTTTTTCTAATTAGAGATGATATCTTGCTGTGTCACACAGGTTGGAGTGCAGTGGCATGTGATGAGTGAGATAATTCAGTAAAGGGTGTGGGGAGAACTCACTACCTACCTGATAGCTCACTGCAGCCTCGAATTTCTGGGCTCAAGCAACACTTCCGCCTCAGCCTCCCAACTAGCTAGGACTAAAGACGTGTACCAATTTTTAAAAATGTGTTGTAGAGACGGGGTCTCACTACTGGGGTCCAAGAAGGCTTTGAGGCAGACTCAGAGCCCAGCCTGACAGCGGTATCCCACAAGATTCATTTGCCTGGCTGCTCTTGAACTTACGCCCTCAAGCAATCTTCCAAAGTACTGGGATTACAGGTGTGAGTTACTGTCCCTGGCTTTGTTTTTGTTTACAGCATAATTGAAACCTATAATTGCGTGTTTAATCTGTTTGACTATTTGTTTAGTGTCTGTACCCTGGACAAGAGCAAGGGCTATGTGTATTCTGTCCCTTACTGTGTCCCTAGGGCCCGATACTGGGCCTGACTCATTGAATCACTCAACTGGCTGCCCTCTTAAAATGGGAGGAATAATGCTTCCCAGGAATCAAGCCATGAGAAA